AGAGATAGTAGGAACTGCAGATGCTGTGTTCATCCAGCTCTACACCTTGTTATCTCAGATTCTCCAGCATCTGCAGTTCCTACTATCTCTGCTCCACTGTGTTTGTCTGTTGCCTCTGTATGTGTCTAGGAGTCCAAGACCCAATATGTGTGTCCAAGACCCTGCACCACTCTGTCTGTGTGTGGGTCCAAGACCCTGGTCCACCCAGTGTGGATGTGTGGGTCCAAGACACTTCTCCTGTGTGTGTGAGACTGTGCTTCATCTCTGCTCCATACTCTGTAAATGGGAGATTCAACACCCTGCCCCACCCTCTGTGTGGGGCTTCAAGACCTTGGTCCATCCTCTGTCTATGTGTCAAGCAGAGCAGATCCAGAGGATCATACACAGAGCAAAGCAGAGCACCTGTGCAAACACAGTGGAGAAAGCCCTCAAACGTGCCCCCTTCCTGTCTCTCTCTCTCTCTCTCTCACTCACACACACACACACACACACACACACACAGATAAACATGCATGCACATGCACACACAGTGGATCATTGACTGAGATTGTTCACATGCTCAAGGTGTTTTAGACGCTGTTAGTGTCGCAGTTTGTAATCAGCTGTATTGCATCTCACAGTGACAGTGACCCACTCTTCAGGGACATACAATAATAAACAGAGGACACACTAAATCAGGGCAGCCCAATGCCATTCACGTATCCTTCATCCTCTCACTGCAACTCAGAGACGGACATACTGTCTCAGGGGTCCTCATCATTTCGAGGCTGTGAAACAGAATTATATATTCTCACTGCTGTAACTGATTAGCTATCCTCTACATGCCTCCCAGGCTCATCCTTTCAATGATTTCAAGTTACAGAGACTAGAATTTGGGAGACAAGCCAGGAGTCATAGAATAGTCAATTCTAGAGGTAACAACGGCCTGAATAATGAGGATTTCAGTAGTAGGTTAGTTAAGATTGCTGGAACGGGACAATGTTCTCGTGGAAAGAAACTTCCTTGGGGTTATTAAGCGGATCTTCAGTCAGATGCTCATCTCAGGGTCAAAGGTGGTGCAAAATTTCAAATGGTATGGTCAGCCTCATTTATCTGGGAGACCGGTAGAAGTTGGGACTGAAGAACAGAACTTGTCTTGGTAACCCAAGCCAATGGATTTAGCCTTCCCAATTTTTAACTGGATGAAATGTCTTCTCATCCATTAGAGATCCACAGATCCACTGTGTGTGATCAAGGAAAAGGAGAATATAATCAAACAATAAAAGAGTCTATGATTCCTGTCAGGGGAATTCTTTGTGAGAATCAGGCCAAATGCAATAAGTTGATAGGGGAAATGAAGAGGAAAATAAGAAAGAGTATGGAGAACAGAATGACAGTTAACATTGAAGCCAGAAAGTCTAGCAACATGTAAATCATAAATCAGTCATAAACAGCAGAATGGGTCCTATTCAGGACAAAAAAGATGATCAATGTTTAGAGGTGCAAGGCAAGGCTAGAATATTAGCATAAATACTTTGTATCAGTGACTAAGGAAGAGTAAACTGATAAAATTAATAGGTGGAGATAGTCATGAATGGATGGAGTGAAAATTGATAGAATGTATTAGAAAAGCAGGTTATACTTGAGAGTGGATAAATCACTTTGTCCAGATGGTTTACACTCCAGATTAAAGAAAGTGAGGGGTGGAGATCATAGAATCATAGAATCCCCTCAGTGTGGAAACCAGCTATTCGGCCCAACAAGTTCACACCGATCCTGTGAAGAATATCCCACCCAGACTCATCCCCCCTACCCTGTCCCTGTAACCCTGCTTTTCCCATGGCTAGGCCATCTAGCCTGCACATCCCTGATACTATGGGCATATTAACGGGTTTGTCGTAGTCTTCCAGTCTTCTCCAACCATGGTGGGGGGAGTTGCCAGAAGACTGGAAAATGGGAAATGTAATACCATTATTGAAGAAAGAGTGTTAACGCATTCTAAGTTAAATTTTGATGAAGGGTCACTGGACCCAAAACGTTAACTCTTTCCACAGATGCTGCCAGACTTGCTGAGCTTGTCCAGCAACTTCCGCTTTTGTTTCTGATTTTCAGCACCTGCAGTTCTTTTGAGATTTTTTCTTAGTTAAGTACTGGCCAGTCAATTTATCATCACTGGTAGGAGAGTTTTTAGAAACAATAATGCAGGACCAGGTCAGCAGGTATGAGGAGAGGTTTGTATTGGGTATGGAGGTTAGCATGAATTTGTAAAAGGCAGAATAATTACATTCCAGATTTTGAAGAAGTTCCAGAGAAGGCAGTGGCATTCTCCCAGGGTCATTCCTTTGATGTACATTAATGACGTGGAATGCAGAGTAACACATCAAAATTTGCTGATGATACCAATGATTCTTGAAGCTGCGATGGTGATGATGATTCCATTTCACTGCAAACAGACACAGAGAGACTAGCTGCATGGGCAGACTAGTTACGGGTGGAATTTAATGTAGAGTGTCAGGAGGTCAGGAGGAACTTCTTCACCCAAAGGGTTGTGAATCTGTGGAATTCCCTGCCCAGTGAAGTGGTTGAAGCTACCTCGCTGAATGTTTTTAAGGCAAGGCTAGATAAATTTTTGAACAGTAAAGGCATTAAGGGTTATGGTAAGTGGGCGGTTAAGTGGAGCTGAGTCTCAAAAAGATCAGCCATGATCTTATTAAATGGTGGGGCAGGCTCGAGGGGCCAGATGGCCTACTCCTGCTCCTAGTTCTTATGTTCTTATGTAATGCATTTCAGTGATGCAGTGAATGCTGAAGATCAGGAACTTGCTATCTACAAGGGTATTGGAAGCAGAGGCCATCAGTGTATTTGAAAAGAAATTCAGAAAAATGAACCTTCAAGAATTCAAGGATAGACAGGAGGTATAACACTGAACTGATGACCCTGTTTCTGTGTCAAAATGACCAATACCTTCAGTCTAACAGCCCTGTAAGATCTCTACTCCCCTGCTGCATCCTGACACTGCCTAGAACTCACCATATATTTCCAGTAAGACCCTTATAATTTGGAAATTTTGTGGGAATCTAGAGTCAATATAAATCAGGAAAAGCAGGGCATTGAGTTAGGAGACTTGGCATGGGATAGATGGAGTGGATACTGCTCACTGAGCTACAGAAATAAACAGTAAAGCATGTGGTTGATCAGTCAACCTGGAAACTTGAGTGTGACAGGTTAAGGATAGTCTGCAAAGGGGTTGAACTAGTTTGGTAGCTGCGTGTGTACTGAGTGTCTCTTTCTGAAGAAGGGTCTAGGCCCAAAACGTCAGCCTTCCTGCTCCTGAAATGCTGCTTGGCCTGCTGTGTTCATCCAGCTCTACACCTTGTTATCTCTTTCTGACTGTTCTTTGTTTCTCTGTTGCAGGGCTGATTGTGTATTTGGGGATGATGGTGGGGGCCTTCCTCTGGGGAGGTCTTGCAGACAGAATGGGCCGCAGGCAGTGTCTGCTCATCTCTCTCTCAGTAAACAGTGTCTGTGCTTTCTTCTCATCCTTTGTGCAAGGATACGGGACCTTCCTCTTCTGCAGACTTCTGTCTGGTGTTGGGTAATGTAGACCTGCTCTGTTTCCTTGCATCTTTTCTCATGCTGAAAGCTGTGTTACGTTCGCCTGCCTTCCCTGATGTGGATTAACTTCCAAAACAAGCCCAGACTGTGATTCTATTTGGAGGTGGGATGAATGAACCATTCCTTTCACTTGCCTAATGAAGGTTCACAATTAGAATGGAAAGTACATGTCATCCCTGGTTTAGAGACAGAGAGGGAAATTAGCCAGGGTACCTGCTCCTGTTCACTGCCCACTGCCCACTGATCCCTATATTAGAGAGAGAGGGGGAAATCAGCCAGGGTTCCTGCTCCTGGTCACTGCCCACTGACCCCTATATCAGAGACAGAGGGGAAATCAGCCAGGGTTCCTGTTCCTGGTCACTGCCCACTGACCCCTATATCAGAGACAGAGGGGAAATCAGCCAGGGTTCCTGTTCCTGGTCACTGCCCACGGACCCCTATATTAGAGAGAGAGGGGGAAATCAGCCAGGGTTCCTGCTCCTGATCATTGTCCAGTAACCCCCTGGTCTAAAGATGTCATTTTTTCATTCTCTTTATTTTTGGATAAAGGACCAAAAATGGATGATACTGCCTTACACAATGGAGGCTGTATAAAGAAATGTTTGCAGTTCTAAAAATCATGTTTACTGAAGTTCATTGAGTGCTCTCTGCAAATTTCCTTTTGGAAGAAAAAAACAGCAGATAAAAACCCTTCAGATGCACTGAATGGGAAAATCCTCAACCAGTGAACAAGAGACTGGGATTTGGTGAATCCACAACCTGGCATTAGTAGCAAAGACTTGGAAGGAGTCAAAAGGAAAGAACTCATTTGACATCTGTAATCCAGCCTGGTGCTAGAACTGTGCTTCTCCAATGAGTTTTCCCTTACCAATCAATACTATGTCTTATCTCTATATGTCTTTTCTTTTAAAGGGGGAGAGTTTAAGTTATGGAGTTGGTTATAAGTTCGTGATTCATGTTTCTTTCCTGACAATGGGTTATAAACAGTTTAATTACAATAAGCAGCAATTTCCCTGTTATTGAAAATCCTGATGTGCATATTCTTTTAACCTGAACTAGATAGTAAAAGAAAATTGTGCAATTTGGCATTTTAATCTAACTTTCACATTTGTAACGATTCCGGAAATAGCGGGGCTTGATTTCCAGTGGATTACTCCTGAGACTGATGACATTGGGTGAGATAGATAAGGGAAATCAGCCAAGGTCCTGCTCCTGATCACTGTCCAGTCGCATCTGAAAAGAAAGAATGTGCATTTATCTAGTGTGTTTTTATAAGTATGTACATACCATGTCTCTGCATTCATATTTATCATCCATATCCGTGTATGCTTGTTTGAATTTATCTTTTACTTGTCTGTTTGCATTTGTTATCTGTGTGTATGCCTCTGTCTGTGAGTGTGCTTAGTTATTTGCATGAATGGGCATGTGATATGGTGATACTGTCACCGGATGAGTAACCGAGTAGCCCTGGTTAATGGTTTGGGTATTTAAACTAGAATTTCAATTCGGTTAATAAAAATGCTGGAATTAAAAGCTAACATCATTATCAATTACTGTAAAAAGTCACCTGGTTCACTGTAGGGTAGGAAATCTGCTGACCTTAACTGGTCTAGTTTACAAGTGACACCAGACCCACAGCAATGTGACTTGATTCTTAAGGGCCCTCAGAAATGGCTGAGCCAGTTACTCAGTTCTAGGACAATAGGGATGGATAAACAAATACTGGACTCGTCAACAACACCCTTGACCTGTGGAAAAATAAAGAGAAATGTCTGAGTACATCTGCTGATGACAGGACACGCTTAGGCTTGAGTGGAAGGTCTACGAATTGAAGCAACCATCAATCCTGTGATATGGAGCAGAGGCACGAGTATCGTTGAAGATTTGATAATGACACTGAACAGGCACAGGAGATTATTGTGTAACCAAGCCTTTTTCATTTACTTGCTTTAGAATTGGTGGTTCCATTCCCATTGTGTTTTCTTACTTCTCGGAGTTCCTCGCCCAGGAGAAGCGAGGGGAGCACCTGAGCTGGCTTTGCCTGTTCTGGATGATTGGAGGAATTTATGCCTCAGCAATGGCGTGGGCCATCATCCCTCACTATGGTAAGAGCATCAAAGTCAGTTCCAAGAGCTACACAATAAATATCAAGCCAACCTGGGATGGAGTATTGAGGATGGGTCAAGGACTAGACAATAATGCAAGGAGTTAAAGGCCAATGTCACAATCATGGTGTTTAAAACTAGGTGTGGAATTACAGCATGGTTCTCAGGTAGCAGATGCACCACCAGTCTGCTTAATACAGATAAATTGTGCTGTTCTTGTATGGGGAGTGTTTGATGGGGACATTGTCAAAGAAGTTTCACTTCATATCTAACCACATGCTGTACATGTGCTGGGAATGTTTGATGGGGACGGTGAAGTGGGATTATTACTCTATCAAACCCCATTCTGTACTGGTGCTGGGAAACTAATTAATACTGATATATTGCACTGAATCACTGCTGCTTGAGCTTTGTCTAAGGTAAGGACCGGTTTGCACTGTATCATTGAACCCTTATAAAATGCAACAACGTTGTAACTGTTCTTCTATGTAACACTATGCCTCCCTCTCTTTTCTCTTAACTTTCTCTATCATTTCTCCCTTACCCCGAACTACTTACCTGCTTACTATTATACTCCATTCTTCCTTTACATTGGCTTTTTAATTTCATATCAACACCTCTGTTCTCCTTTATTTTACTTTAATGTCATGCACTCCCCTCTTTCCCATCCTTCATCTCTTTTCTGTTACTATCCTTTCCCTTCCCATCTTGCTCCATCCCCACATCCCATCCTTGTCAATTCCCTGAATTGTCTCACTTCAATCACTCTCCTCCATCCCCCACCTCTCCCTCTCCTTCCCTTTCCCTCCAGGCTGGAGTTTCCAGATGGGATCAGCATATCAGTTCCACAGTTGGCGAGTCTTTGTTCTTGTCTGTGCTTTTCCTTCCGTCTTTGCGATTGTGGCCCTCAACTTCATGCCTGAGAGTCCTCGCTTCTACCTAGAGGTAACTACCACTGTTTCCCCTCCTTCTCTACATGCTTGCTTGTAATCCTCAGCACAACCCACAGGCACAAAGCTGGCAGGAGGTTTTCATTAGTGTAGAGAGAGCTTAACTCTGTACTTAAATCTGTGCTGTCCCTGTCCTGGACTGTCTGGTGGGGGTACTGTAGAAAACTCTTTACTTTCGATTTAAAAGAGTAGACAGAATTTTATTCTGTATGTAACCCCACATTGTACTTGCTCTGAGAGTGTTTGATAGGGACGGTGTAGAGGAGGCTTCACTTTCAGTTTAAAAGAGTAGAGGCAGTTTTATTTTGTATTTAACCCTGTGCTGTACCTTCCTCGACTGAAAACAAGGGTTGCATTTTCATCCTGACGTGGTGTGGAAATGAGTTGCCATATTGGTCTCTGTCTTGAGTTTACTGCTATGATACTGGAGCTGCTAATATTTGGACCTAAGCAGTTCACTCCTGGAAAGGTGTCAGCACCACTCACATTAGAGGAACTACTGGGCAGAGAGAAACCATGACAAACCTGAATAGTCTGAAAAGTTTGCAGGTTTTCGCTGCACAGTGACCTGCTCTACCTATCTTCCAACAGAATGGCAAACACGATGAGGGTTGGATGATTCTCAAACAAGTTCACGACACCAACATGAGGGCCAAAGGCTTCCCAGAACGGGTCTTCTCTGTGAGTATCTTGATTTGGTCACAACTGACTGAACTTGTAAGTCAATGATTTGGCTTTTCAGGTTGTGGACAGGCTAGCTATCTTCACTAAACTAGTCCCAGCATGGAGGTTTCCCTCTTCTCTAATCTCCAGCTCATTGGATAATGATCAGGAGCAGAAGCTCTAGCTGATTTAACCGCTCTCTCTTACCTGGGGGTCATTTGACAATGATCAGGAGCAGGAACCCCAGCCGATTTCTGCCTTCCCTTGATGTTGTTGAACTCCTGGAGTACTGTAGCAGCTGTCCCAGGAAAGGTGGAGAGTATTGCAGTCCATTCCTGACTTTGTCTTTTAGGTGCTGGAGAGTCTCAGTGAACAGTTGCAAGTTAAGTGCTGATTGCTATCTGATCTGCAGCTTTATTATTTACAGTCACACTTTGTATGGTAGATTTGATCATTTTTCTTAAGCTTCAAAATCATTTTGTGCACTTTAAATAAAGATTATGCTGTGGTTCAATATATTATTATGCCTGTGAATTGTGTAAGTTTGTTCAGCCACTGGTTGGCTCTCCTGCATCTTATACACTGCCTTAGAAGAGGGATTTGGACTCTGTAGTAAAGTTAATTATGAGTCTGTAGTTTGAGCGCATCATGTCTTTCTTTGAGGCTGACAGTTTGTGTTTTCACAGGTAACACACATTAAAACTCCCAAACAGCTGGATGAGCTGATCGAGATCCAGTCAGATACAGGCACTTGGTACCGGCGCTGGCTAGTCCGCTTCACCAATATCTTTCAGCAGGTACACGTCCTCAGTAATAGTTATACATTGTGCAGCCAGAAAGTGTATATACCATTACAATTTCCTTCCTATAGGATGTGGAATACAATAAAGATAAAGCAGGGAAATAGGTTGTGCATAGGATTTACAGCAATGCATTCATTTATTTTCTGTTTGTGCAGGTTCGGAGCAACTTCCTGCAGTGTTTCTCAATCCAGTACCGCCGCACCACGTTGCTCATGATGGCAGTTTGGTTCACAATGGCCTTCAGGTTTGTTTGTTATGCAGTCCTGATAATCTGATGGGGACAACATGGAGGGAGTTTTATTATGTATCTAATCACGTGCTGCATCAATCCTGGGAGTGGTTGATGGGGTCAGTGGGAGGAGGAGTTTATTCCGTATCTAAATCCATGCTGTACTTGTCGTAGGAGTGTCTGGTGCTGATAGTATAGCAGGAGCTTCACTTTGTATCTAACAATGTGCTGTCCCCCTGTCCTGGAACTGTTAGATGCAGACAATGTAGAGACAGCTTGCTCTGTATCAAACCCTGAGAGTGTTTGATGGGAAGTGGAGAGAAAGCTGTACTCTATCTAACCCCACGTTGTCCCTGCTCTGACAGTGTTTGATGGTACAGGTAAAGGAACCTTTATTCAGTCTCAACCTATGCTGTACCTGCCCTGGCAGTGTTTGATAGGCAGAGAGAGCTAGACTTTCACAGTTGGGAAGAGTAGAGGCAGCTTTACTTTGTATCTATCCCTGTGCAGTCCCTGTCCTGGGAGTGTTTGTTAAGTACAGTATCGACGGAGCTTTACATTCAGTTTAAAAGGGTAGAAGGAATTTATTCTGTTGTTAACCCGCTGCTGTCCCTGTCCTGGGAGTGTTTGATGGGTACAGTGTAAAGGGAGCTTTACTCTGTATCTAACCCTGTCCTGAGCGTATTGATTGGGACAGTGTTGTGGAAGCTTTACTTTCTGCTTACTTCTAGCTTTACTCTGTATCTAATCTCGTGCTGTCCCTATCCTGGGGGTGTTTGATGGGGCAGTGTCGAGGGTGATTTACTTTCAGGTTAAAAGAGTAGATGAAGCTTTACTTTGTATCTAACCCTGTACTGTACCTCTCCTGAGAATGTTTGATGGAGACACTGTTGAGACACCTTTACTTTCATTTTAAAATAGTTAAGGGAGTTAATTCTGTATCTATTCTGGGAATGTTTAAATGAGGATAGCATAGGATGAGTTTACTCTGTATTTAACCTGTACTGTACTTGTTTAGGGTGAAGTTGATTAGAATGATGTAGAGGAGCTTTTACTCTGTAACCAAACTGATGTTTCTGAAATGCAATTTGATAGTGGCTGCCAGAAACCCTACTGATGTAAGCTCTGTGTTCTTCAGTTACTATGGTCTGACAGTGTGGTTCCCGGACATGATCAAACATTTACAGATGATGGAGTACTCCTCACGCACTAAAGTCTTCTACAAGGAGAAGGTTGAACATTTCACCTTTAACTTTACACTTGAAAATCAAATTCACAAGAATGGTGATTACTACAATGACAAGTGAGTGCCCACAAAATTACATAAAAGAGACTGGGATCCCTAGGTGTAATATTACAGAGTCTTAATGGAACCACAACCTTCCCTACAGCTGTGGGCACTGGTTGTCCTTCTATAGAGATCCACTATGAGGGTCAGGGAAAGTGATGGGTTTGAACAGGCATCACACCCCACCTGTATAATGGCCTCACCGGAAGTGACTCTGGGAATCAGATTGGAAACCCTGGCTGATCTCTGTCTCTCTGAGCTGAGATTAGAGATCAGGTGTTCCCAGTCCTTACAGTGTGGATAAACTCACTATTTAATTATACATTGCAGATCTGTTTGACGTTACCTGTTTGTGCTTGGTTTGGTGTGGAGATTTTAAAAACGGTCCCTTCAAGGTTTATGACCCCCAGTCAGGGTCTGTGAACTGAATGTTTAGGGGTCATGAGCTTACAGGCAGCTGGGCTGCAGCTGTTACTTGGGATCTCTCTCCCCACACTGAGGTCTTGTCTCCTACTCTTCCTGCGCTCACAGAGGAGTCAGAAGAATGTTCATTTTGAAAGCACAGCATTAAGAGATAATTATATTGTTTCCTTGTTGTCTTGGACAGATTTATTGGGATGAAGCTGAAATCGGTGATATTTGAGGACTCCCTTTTTGAAGAATGTTATTTTGAAGACATTACCTCCAGTAACAGTTTCTTCAAGAACTGCACCTTTATCTCAACACTCTTCTACAATACAGGTTTACTAGCTGGGTGTTTTGTGCTTTTGACTACCAACTACTCTCTTCCCCTTCATGTAACTGTCTTAGTAGATGGTGGGAGCTTGTTTGTATTATCAACGGGAATCTGTGGGCACCTATTGGAAAGTTGACTGTCTGAACCTCTTCCCAATATTAAGTAGGATAGTGTGCTAGTGGACAGTCTCTGTCTCAGTGGACTCAGTGTGGGTGGGTGAGTGAATGTATGTGTGTGTCAGGGTTGGAAGTTTAATTAGAGGTTCTGCACCTGATTAGTACCTAGATGTGGGGTGGAGGAAGAACTGGTGGATTCTCAGTTGTATGGGGAGCTGGAATGTCTTTGCAATGCCATGCTGAAGGACTTTCATTGTTTATACAGATTTCTTTGACTATAAGTTAATGGGCTGTCGTATGATAAACAGCACCTTCCTACACAGTAAGGAGGGCTGTCAGCTTGACTTCAGCGATGATAACAACGCCTATATGATCTACTTCGTTAGCTTCCTGGGATCTCTGGCTGTACTGCCTGGAAACATTGTATCTGCTCTTCTCTTGGACAAGATCGGCCGGCTTAGGATGCTGGGTGAGTGGCAGCAGCAGTAAATGAGGTATGTGGAATTGTGTCCCACCCCTCAGGACTCCAGATGTTTTGATTGATGGGCAGGTTTGGGAATGCTTCCTTACATCTTGTTGCTGGCCCTGTCCTAGCCAGTCAAGTTATATTATATAACCATGGCATACGATAATCCAGATGGGAATAGATTTTCCTGAGTTCTGTAGTACGTGATAACTTTTCTCTCTCTAATCTCTTTTCCCCACTAGCTGGCTCCAGCACACTCTCCTGCATCAGCTGCTTCTTTGTGTCCTTTGGTAATAATGAGTCTGCCATGATCGCTCTGCTCTGTCTATTTGGGGGAGTCAGCATAGCTTCATGGAACGCACTAGACGTCATTACAGTGGAACTCTATCCATCTGATAAGCGGTATGAGTCAGTCTCTTGCAGGGGTTCTGGTTTCCTGGTAATGTTGGTTTTATCTTTTCTTTGTCAATCAGGGGTTGCACCCCTCCCTTGATGGTTTAGCTCAGTTGGCTAAACAGTTGGGTTAGATCATAGAACATAGAATAGTACAGGCCCTTCGGCCCACGATGTTGCGCCGACCTATTATCCTACTAAGATCAATCTTCCCTGCATACCCTACATTTTACTATCCTCCATGTGCCTATCCAAGAGTCGTTTAAAAGTCTCTAAAGTATCTGACTCCACTACCAATGCCGACAGCGCATTCCACACGCTCACCACTCTGTGTGAAGAACCTATACCTTCCTCCAATCACCTTAAAATTATGCCCCCTCGTAATAGTCATTTCCGCTCTGGGAATAAGTCTCTGATTATCCACTCTATCTATGCATCTCATCATCTTGTAAACATCTATGAAGTCACCCCTCATCCTTCTTCGCTCCAATGAAAAAAAGCCCTAGCTCCCTCAACCTTTCCTCATAAGACCTGCCCTCCAGTCCAGACAGCATCCTGGTAAATCTCCTCGGCACCCTCTCTAAAGCTTCCACATCCTTCCTGTAATGAGGTGACCAGAACCGAACACAATATTCGAAGTGTTGTCTAAACAGAGTTTTACAGAGCTGCAGCATAACCTCACGGCTCTTAAACTCAATTCCCCTGCCAATGAAAGCCAACACACCATACGTGTTCTTTACAACCCTATCAACTTGGGTCGCAACTTTGAGGGATCTATGGATGTGGACCCCAAGATCCCTCTGTTCTTCCACACTGCTGAGAATCCTGCCATTAACCCTGTATTCTGCATTCAAATTCGACCTTCCAAAATGAATCACTTTTCCGGGTTGAATTCCATCTGCCACTTTTTTGCCCAGCTCAATGTCAATGTCCCGTTCCAACCTACAACAGCCCTCCACGCTGTCCACAACTCCACCAACCTTCGTGTCATCGGCAAACTTACTAACCCACCCTTCCACTTCCTCATCCAAGTCATTTATAAAGATCACAAAGACTAGAGGTCCCAGAACAGATCCCTGTGGCACACCACTGGTCACCAAGCTCCAGGCTGAATACTTTCTGTCTACTACCACCCTCTGTCTTCTATTGGACAGCCAGTTTTGTTTCCAGACAGCCAAATTTCCCTGAATCTCATGCCTCCTTAATTTCTGAAGAGCCTACCATATGGAACCTTATCGAATGCTTTGCTAAAATCGATATATACCACATCCACTGCTCTACCTTCATCGATGTGTTTTGTCACATCCTCAAAGAAATCAATAAGGCTTGTAAAGCATGACCTGCCCCTCTCAAAGCCATGCTGACTATTTCTAATCAAACTGTGCTTTTCCAAATAATCATAAATACTATCTCTCAGAATCTTCTCCAATAATTTGCCCACCACAGAAGTAAGACTGACTGGTTTGTAATTTCCAGGATTATCCCTATTCCCTTTCTTGAACGAGGGAATGACATTTCCATCCTCCAATCTCTGGCACTATTCCAGTGGACAGTGAGGGTGCAAAAATCATTGCGAAGGGGCAGCAATCTCTTCCCTCGCTTCCCGTAGAAGCCTTGGGTATATCCCGACTAGCCCAGGGGACTTCTCTATCCTCATGTTTTTCAAAATTTCTAGTACATCCTCCTTCCTAACACCAACCTGTTCGAGCATATCATGCTGTCCTCACAAACGTCAAGGTCCTTCTCACTGGTGAAGACTGAAGCAAAATATTCATTAAGGACCTCCCCTACCTCTGCACACAAGTTCCCTCCACTGGCCCTGATGGGCCCTACCCTCACTCTGGCCATCGTCTTGTTCCTCAAATAAAGTATAGAAAGCCTTGGGGTTTTCCTTGATCCTACCCATCAAGGTTTTCTCATACCCCCTTCTAGTTCTCCTAAGTCCATCCTTCCGTTCCTTCCTGGCTACCTTGTAGACCTCTAGAGCCCTGTCCGATCCTTGCTTCCTCAACCTTAAGTAAGCTTCCTTCTTCCTCTTGACTAGGTGTTCAACGTCTTGTCATCCAAGGTTCCTTCACCTTACTATCCTTTCCTTGCCTTAGTGGGACAAACCTATCTAGTACCTGTAGCAACTGCTCCCTAAACAACCTCCACGTTTCTATCGAGCATTTCCCTGAGAACATCTGATCCCAGTTGGTGCACTGTAGTTCATGCCTAATAGCATTGTAATTCCCCCTCCCCCAATTAAATACTTTCCCATACCGTCTGCTCCTATCCCTCTCCATGACTATAATAAAAGTCAGGGAGTTGTGATCACTATCACCAAAATGCTCTCCCACCGAGAGATCTGACACCTGTCATGGTTCGTTGCCAAGCACCAAATCTAACATGGCCTCCTCTCTAGTCGGCCTATCTACATATTGACACACCTGACAAAATCTGCTTCATCCAAACTATTTGCACTTAGGAAGTTCCAGTCTTTATTAGGGAAGTTGAAGTCGCCCATGACAACAACCCTATTACTTCTGCACCTTTCCAAAATCTGTCTCCCAATCTGTTCTTCAATGTCTCTGTTGCTGAAGGGTTGTGAAGCAGTGTGACACCAACTGTGTGGGTTCAATTCCCATCACCGGCTGAGATTATCATGAAGGACTCTCCTTCTCAACCTCTCCCCTCATCTGAGGTATGGTGGCCTTTCGGTTAAATCACCACCAGTCACTTCTCTCTAATGAGAGAGCAGCCCTCTGGTCTGGTAAGACTATGGTGACTTGGTGATGCAATCGAGTAGTCTCTCTCCACTCTGTTTTCCTCCAGATTCTAGCAATCCAAGTTCCCTGGGATTTTCACTGTTCCTGGTCTCTTGCTTTACCCTGCAATTTCCAGTGTTCTCAATCTCTTGCTCTTTCAATATATTTTTCCTTTGGCGTTTAGCACACCTTTCTTTTGCTGCTCCCCGCATTTCTTCAGTTTTCAGCGCTCTCACTCTCTCATTACCAAATTTTCCTGCAGTTACCATTACTCCCAGTCCCTTATTAAAAAACAGAAATAGCTGGAGAAATTGAGCAGGTCTGGCACCATCAGTGTAGACAGAAAGCAGAGTTAATAGTTCTGGTCCAGTGATCCCCCTTCAGTGGCAGGGGTGGGGCGGGGTGCAATGGACCTGGACCTGAATCATTGACTCTGCTTTTCTCCACAGATATTGCCAGACCTGCTGAGTTTCTCTGGCTGTTTCTGTTTTTGTTTCAGATTTCTCACATATGCAGTTTTTTATTTTTTACTCCCAGTCTCTCGTTGCTCCACCTTTTCCTGCACTTTCTAGTGCTCCCTGTCTCTCATCACTTCCTGGTTTTCCTCCAGTCTGCTTCCACTTTCACTGTTCTCAGATTTCCTATGGTTTCCAGTGCTCCTTGTCTCCTACTGCTCCATCTTCTTGCAGATTCCAGTAAATCCAGACTTGCACTGCTCCAATCTTCCATGCAGCCATCTGTTTTTCTGCAGTTTCCATACTCCTAGTCCCTTACTGATTTCCTGTGATTGCAAGCACTCTCCCTCTTTCTGCTCTATTTTCCTGTAGTTGTCCATGCTCACCTTCTCTCTTGCCTTTGCTTTCCTGTTGTTTCTTGCACTCCCCATCTCTAAGTACAGTAAAAACTTTTGTTTTGCGAGCAGTAGAGGCAGATCATGACATACAAGGACATACAGATTATAGGATGTTTAGACAGAGCAAGGCACACAAGGTGCACAAAAGCAAGATCAACGTTGGATCTGAAATTAGAGAGGTCCATTCAGCAGTCTAATAAAAGCAGGGTAAAAGCTGTTCTTGACCCTGTTGGGATGTGTATTTAAGCTTCTGTATCTTCTGCCTGACGGAAGTGATTGGAAGGGAGTATTACCAGGGTGGGAGGGGTCTTTGATGATGGCAGCCTTTCCACGGCAACGAGAAGAGTAGATGGAGTCCATGGATGGGAGGTTACCTTTCATGATGGTCTGGGCTGTGTCCATTCTGTTTTCTTCTGCTCTGGTATCTCTTTTGTTTAAATCAGTGTTTTTTTTATTCTGGCAGGACCACAGCCTTTGGATTTCTCAATGCTCTGTGTAAGCTGGCGGCCGTACTGGGCATCAGTATATTCCAATCCTTTGTGGGGGTGACACGAGCAGTGCCCATCATGTTGGCCTCTGTTGCTCTGGCATTGGGCAGTTACCTGGCGCTAAAACTCCCAGAGACTCGTGGCCAGGTGCTGCAGTGAGTCTGGCTTCAGCCAGAGCCCCTGTAGATGTAGACACTGTGACTCATCTTTCTCTGTTCTTTCATATTGTTTTTGTATGTCTTCCCATGTGGACAAGAAGTGAAACTCTATAAAACTCATTACCAACTCCTGCAGGAGATGTAAATAACCCTTCTGCTATTTGTGTACACAAGTCTCACTGCACAGATCACAGTGGTGCAAGGTGTATGAAGAGCACAGACTATAATAACCCGGCAAACTCCAGGGCACAAATCATCTGCCGTGTAATCTCAGGAACGGCAGTGTTCTGTATGTATTTCCTGGATTGTTTTCAAAGTGTAAATACAGCATAGCTGAGGATCCAGGACCAATCCTGAAGCACAGTTTGCTAGGCCCTGACCATGTGATCTGTACAGTGATCCAACTTTTCCATTTACTGGTATGAGGCAGAGTTTGTGCAATTTTTAGTGTAGTTGTCCAGAGTAACTTTTTCCCTGTTAGATTCAGTACAATAATCGAGTCCGAGGGTAAAGCACAGGGCTGTTGGGTATGATGGGGAAGCACAGGGAGAATTTGTTCCTTTCCATTTGAAACTGGTGATTACTGGAGAGTATGTTTTGTGTTGAAGGGCTTAGGAGCAAAGGGGGATGGCTGGTTTGTGGGTGGGTGGATGGATGGAATCATCACAGTCAATGGTTAATTCCTAACCAGACCCAATTAATGAATCTAAGTACATCAACTGAGCCCTTTTGAGTCTGGTCATCACTTACAAATGAAATGTTAAAAATCAGAATCTTATTGCAAATTCAATCTCCTTTCCTATCCCTCACTCCTTGTGTCTCCCTTTCCTGTACCTCTCCCTGACCCATGGTGCTCACTTTAAGTAACAGTAGGCTGATGTGGTGACAATCAGTGGCTCTGTGGCTGTTGTAAGGAGTGAACCGTTGTCAATTGCCAAATATTTTTCTACTCTGCGTCTGGTTTTAATTCTCTGGTGAGAGGTTTGTTCAGACTTGTGAATGCTGTAGAGTTAGAAACTAGTGTGTGTGAGTGTGTAACTGTTTTTGTGCAGTTGTGCCACTATTCCTTGTTGTCTGTCTATGTAAAAAACCTGTGATAGATGGAGGTTATCTGTATAGTTTCAGATACAATAGAGTATAATTGTAGTGTGTCTGAATTTTAGCTGTTTTGTATTATATTTAAAGAAAGAGAGGCCTCTCAATGGCAAAAATCTACTTCCAAGTTGTAACAAAAATAAATAAATAAATAAATAAATATAAAGAACTGTGGACCATCTATTGCTGGGTATGCTCATTATCTTAATCCTTTTAGATTGCCTTTAGTCTACCTTATCCGAGGAGCTACAGTTACTTTAACAGACAGGATTGTGAAGAGAAGAATCAGGCCTGTCTCCCGGACGAAGACAGGTTTATGGGATCCAACAGTCGAAACTTACCATCACGCTGCCTTGAATCACACATTTGGTATATCATCCAGTGCTCAATGTTGAAGAAGCTTTTCCAATGAGGGAGTTGTGTAACTTGGAGAAACTAGAGAACCTGAGATTTGTAAGGGGTTTTGACAGTATATGAAGAAAAACAGGCAGAAATCAAAGGACAAGTTTAAAAGTGAAAGGGGAGATGATTTTCACAGTGAGTTGTCATAATCTGCCTGAACAAGCAGATTTGCAAATGATATTTTAAAGGGAATTGAATAACTCCTTGAAGTGATAGGTGTGCAAGACTTGGGGAAATGGCAGGGGAGAGGATGTCAAATCAAACAATTCTTTCTAACAAACAGTACAGGAGTGATGGGCTGAACGGATGCTTTCTGTTCTGAATCATTCCACACGATAGAGATGATTGAAATTGCAAGGCAAACAAATTTATTTTCTTGATCAACTGCCATATTTAAAGAAGCACATGACGAAGTTTTGCCTTGTTGGAACATTTGAGCAGTTTGCAATATGACTGTGACTCCCTCTGTCTTTATCAGTCCTGTTGTCCTGGGGCCTACATAACCTGCTCAGAGCACCTCAGTCTTTTGAAAATGCTTCCAGTTTGACTGCCACATTTGGGTCGTGTTTAGACCCTCCCAGACAGGCTGGGCTCCTGTCGACATGAGGCTCGGTTCCCCATTGCTGGGGTGTCTTGGCCTGGATCGAAAGAGCATGGATCCTGGTCTCCAGTTCCTGCTTCAGGACGTCGTTGACCATCCGATGTCTCTGGAGCAAAGGCACCCCCTCAAATCTCTCACTCACCACCACCACTTTAAAGTGGGTCTCGGAGCCAGGAGGCACTGCATGCATGTAGCTCTCGTTGATGACCTGCAAGTGTGTGGGCATCAGGCTCCGCTCCAGTTTAAGGTGGATGGCACTTGCCACTGGCCCATCCATGGCATGGGTTGCTGAGGTCATTATTGCTGCTCTCGAGCCGAGGGCCGGCATAGATCGGAGCAGCTTCAGCAGGGTGCTCATCCAAGCTGCTATCCCCACCTGCCAAATGAAGTAGTAAGGCTGGTTAGCGATCCCAATGACATGACTGCATTTAGCACATTAGGTGAGTTATCACCCTCATCACAGCCTTCTTAGGATTACCAAATCACCACAACTACATTCTGCAGTATCCAGGAAAGAGAAGTTAATTATACTCTCCACCACTCATTTCTCAAGGAGAATAAATTTGGGGTGGGCAACTGTAAATGCCAATGATGCACAAAACTGTGAAAGAATAAAAATTCTTGGACACACAACTCAGGGCAAAGATTGGGGAGGGAAACTCATCAGCTGCTTTAAATATTTCTCACTCAACGTTTTTGTTTATTACAAGACAGTAAACATGGGGAAAGGGAGTGAGGGAACTACAATTAAGAAGTATGTCGTCAGCTACTGAAGAAACATGAAAGGGCACTAAAGTGACACACATTTCAGGCAGGCAGTGGCAGAGGAGCAACGATTGTTGGAGAGGCAAGGAATAGACCTTCGGACAGCGCTGACCCTCCGACAGCGCCCGCGCCCGCTCCCGCTCCCCCGGCGCTGACCCTCCGACAGCGCCCGCGCCCGCTCCCGCTCCCCCGGCGCTGACCCTCCGACAGCGCCCGCTCCCCCGGCGCTGACCCTCCGACAGTGCGGCGCTCCCTGTCGTACCTCAGCTACTCGTCACGGAGGCTCCGGTGACCGGGTGAAAACCGATGAACGTGCGGCCGGCAAAGAGATGGAGGTTACATCGGGTCAGACCGGGACCGTCTTTGCGACGCGCGAGACACCGGCCAACTGTCAACCAACGGCTCTAGGCCGCGTGCCGTTAATGCGCCTGCGTGGCTATGCGCACTTCCCGACGGGACTTGTAGTCCCAAAGTTGTCGTTTGACCGTACGCCTGCGCGCTTTCGCTTGTTGTCTTCCCGCCGCTGGCACCTTACTGCGCAGGCGCAGAGGCGGGAAAACCGGTGTTGTCTGTCAAAGACTGGAGTAGGAAGAGTGATGTTAGACGGGGCAATAAAATATGTATGGTGATAGAGAGATAGACGGACAGCAAAAAAATTATATATCGAGAGAGATGGAGTAGTAAATATATATCGAGATATTGAGAGAGATGGAGCAGAGAGTAATAAATGTAGAGACAGACGTTAGAAAGAGAGAGATGGTGCAGAGAGATGGGCCAGAGGGCAATAAAAACATGGAGAAAGATACAGCAGAGAGGAATTAAAAAATATATAGACATGAGAGAAATGGAGCAGGGAGTTATGGAGAGTGATGGAGCAGAGAGCAGTAAAAATATATAGAGATAGCAAGAGAGATGGACCTGAGAGGTATACATGACAGAGTAATTGATTCAAGTACAGGGCTGAGAGAAATCAACAGAGAAAAATGGAGTTTTTAAAAAAACTGCGAGCAAAGTAAATTCAGATAGAAAGGAGAGCTGGAGCTGAGAGGTTAAAACAGAGAGAGACATTGACCTCAGCTGGAGTATGCTGTACAGTTCTGGTCACTATATTGAAGGAACGTTTACAAGGATGGTCCAGGGTTGAGAAACTTAAGAAAGTTGTTTGAAGAAGTTGAGACTATTTTTTGGAGAAGAAAAGGCTAAGAGGAGATTTGATGGAAGTTTTCAAAATCATGAGAGGTGTATACAATGTGCGAACAGAGGTCAAAGGAAAAACTGTCTAACTTGTAAAAGGATCAAGAATGAGAGGGCACAGTTGTCAAGTAACTTGTTAAAGAAACAAATGTGATATGAGAAAATAACTTGCACACAGCGAGTAGTTAGGATCTGGGATACAGTGTCTGAAAGTATGCTGGAGGCAGGTTCAAACGGGGTATTCCGGAGAGCATAAGATGATTATTTGAATCGAAACAATGGGACAGGATAGGAGTACGGCACTAAGTCATAATGTTCATTTGGCTGCCAATGTAGACATGATGGGCTGAATGGCCTCTCGTGCACTGTAATAATTTTGTGGGTGAGAAGAGCTGAGAGGGGAAAGAATTTGGAGGTGAGGTGGAGTTGAGACGTAAAACATAGAGACAGGAAGAGATAGAACAGTGAGGATAAAAGCAGACTAGGAAGAAATGGAATTGATTCAGAGATAGTAGGAACTGCAGATGCTGGAGAATCTGAGAAAGCAAGGTGTAGAGCTGGATGAACACAGCAGGCCAAGCAGCATCAGAGGAGCAGGAAGGCTGACGTTTCGGGCCTAGACCCTTCTTCAGAAAATCATCCAGCTCTACACCTTGCTATATCAGAGATGGAATTGAAACAGGATTGGAACAGACTGAAAAAACAAACAAAATTTGGCCAGCTCAAGTCTGGGAACTAGCTACAGCTACAACGTGGCCTGTGGGAAGTTGGGGTGTACATTGTTTGGGAAAACTGAAGACATATGAGAAATAAATGCTGGCCTAGCCAGCGAAGCTCACATCCTGAATGAATAAACAAGAACACATTTGGAATGCTTTGTCAGAACAAATGTAGATAAACTGAGAGAAATACATAAACATTTACAAGACGAATGATGTGAGAATATGTAGTCATAACAACTGGAATCAGTAGGTCAGTAATGAACGTTGGTCAACATGTGATGGATAGAATTGGAAACAGAGAAGTTCATGAAATCTGTAGAATCATAGAAGTCAAAAGTGAAAAGTTGGAGGTGAACAATGTGAAGCTAAGGGAAGGGTGAAAGTTCAAAGGAAAGTTAATGAAATTTTCTTATTCAGGATGAAAGCAGGAAATGGCACTCACTTGATCAGTGGACTGGAAATAAATGTGAGGGATGGGATTCAAGTTGGGTCTGTAAAGGAAATGTTCTATATATCCCATGACAAAACAGGTACTGCTATGAAACACATAGGTTCTGACAGCAAGACTTTTCATTTAGAGGAAGTGAGTGGAGTTTGCAAGGAAGTTGTTCAATACAAGATGCAGAGCCAGGTGGAGAACAATGGTGATTGGTGGGAACCAGTTGGCCCATCAAAAGAAGAAATGGAGAGCCCGATCATGGTGAGAGTTGGAGGTGCAGAAGGATTGAATGTCCATGGTGTAAAAGAGATGGTTAGGGCTAGAAAGCTGGAAAGTGCAAAAGTGACAAAGTCTGTTAAGAGACTCACAGTGTACGTGAGGAAGGAATATACAAGAGAGGAAAGAATAATTGAGCTAACTAATTTCTACGGGCAAAGAATTGGCTGAAACAATCAGTCTACCAACAGTTCTGTATATTAATTTATGCAAGGATTTGGATGTGAGCTGTTTGTGGCAGAGGGAATGAGTTTGGAGGCCATGCAGAGAAGTTCTGCAGAAGAGTTGAGGTCACTGACAGTCTTGAAGACAATAAATTGAACTTTGATGCTGGGGTCCAGGAGGAGGTAGAAGGATATGTTAGAGAGTTAACAATCTGGTTCTTCTAGGAAATGGTTGGTTCATCAAATGTCAACGTGCACTCTGCCAACAATTTGATGACAATTATAGGGTTGACCTTGAGAAAATGAAGTGTAGCAAGGTGTGCAGCAAGTGGAGGTACAGGTTTGAATGAGTGAGGGAGGACCAGTAGGATAGGTGGTCAATGTCAAACTGACAGTTCTCAATGAAAGGATCTAGAGAGGGTCAGAGTGAGTTGTTCAGGTGGAAGGAGAACTCTGAAAATGGGAAAAGAGTCTGATCTATGGGGAAAAGACCATGGGTCATAGTGGGCACAAAGGCAAGGGAAGAAGTGGTCAATGTCAAGCTGAGCTAGAAATTCATTGAGGTGGATTGATGGTAAGGAAATAAGGTTGGTTGACAATGGATAATCTGAAATAAGAAGGAGAAAGTCTGTGTGGATTACAAAAATGTGACATGAAGTGATATTGAAAGAAAGGATAGTATCAAAGGGAAAGAAAAGTCTTGGGAGACATTAGTTTGTGAGAAGAAGCTAGGAATTAGGTTTTGACAGGGAGCTGCGAATGGTTTTGGCTCATTGGAGCACAGATGCAGTCAGGACCTCACTCCCCTCTGAAACAATATCCAATAAGAGTCAGGATCGACAGCCCCACTGGATCTAGTGAGAAGGACTTCAACACTCTGAAAATGCCACACGAATCTCCAAAACCTTTGTAAGTTTGGTGAGTAAGCGAGTGAATCTTAAGGGACAACCTATTTCTTAAATTTTGTATTGCTTGCTTGCAATGGCTATTTAACTTAAAGTTACTGTTTTAAATTTTAACTTTCTTCCAAGCTAGGACAGGGCTAAACAAGTCCTCTGTGAGATTAGTTAATTCAGTTCTTCAACTCACAGAAGGCTCACTCATCTAAATCTCACTAGTATACAGAGAGTCATAGAGTCATACAGATGGGAACAGACCATTCAGCCCAACCCATCCATGCAAACCAGGTTTCCTGAACTCAGCTAGTCCCATTTGCCTACATTTGACCCAAATCGCTCTAAACCTTTCCTGTCTGTATACCTGTCCAAATGTCTTTTAAATGTTGTAACTGGACCCGCATCTACCACTTCCCTGGCAGCTCATTCCATATACACACCACCCGCTGTGTGAAAACGTTGCCCCTCAGGTCCCTTTTAAATCTTTCCCCCTAGTTTTGGACTCCCTTACCCTTGCTATTCACCTAATCTATGCCCCTCATGATTTTATAAACCTCTATTCCCTCAGCCTCCGATGCTCAAGGGAAAAAAATGACCCAACCTATCCACCTTCTCCTTATAACTCAAAACCTCAAGTCTTGGTAACATTCTTGTAAATCTTTTTTGCACGCTTTTCAGTTTAATGACATCCATCCTACAGCAGGGTAACCAGAATTGTACACAGTACTCCAAATTTGACTTTATCAATGTCTTGTACAGCTGTAACATGATGTCACTACTCCTGTACTCAATGTTCTGACTGATGAAGACAAGCCTGCCAAATGCCTTCTTCACCACTCTGTCTACCTGTGACATCACTTTTAAGGAACTATGTACCTGCACTCCTAGATCTCTAGTGCAATGTCTTGTATTTATCTAAATTAAACTCCATCTGCCATTCCTTGGCTCACTGGCCCAGTTGATCAAGATTCCATTGTAATCTTAGATAACCTTCTTCACTGTCCACTATACCACTAATTTTGGTGTCATCCACAAACGTACTAACTATGCCTCCTATATTCTAATCCAAATCATTTATATACATGACGAACAACAGTGGACCCAGCACCGATCCTTGCAGCACACCAGGGCAGGATTTATACAGTTGATGGTGGGCTCTGGTGAGTGTGGCCAAACAAAGAGATGCAGGTGCTTAGTTCCTTGAAAGTCGAGTTGCAGGTAGACAGGGTGGTGAAGAAGGCATTTGGCATGCTTGCCTTCACTGGTCAGAACATTGAGTACAGGAATTGGGATGTAATGTTACAGCTGTACAGGATATTGGTGAGACCACTTTTAGAATACTGTGTACAATTCTGGTCGCCCTTCTATAGGAAGGATTTGTTAAACTAGAGAGGGTGCAGAAAAGATTTACAAGGTTGTTGCTGGGACTGGAGGGTTTGATTTATAGGGAGAGGCTGAATAGGTTGGGGCTATTTCTCCTGGAGTGTTGGAGGCTGAGGGGTGATGTTGTAGAGGTTTGTAAAGTCATGAGGGGCATGGATAGGGTGAACAGCCAAGGTCTTTTTTTGTCGGATGGGGAGTCCAAAACTAGACGGCATAGATTTAAGGTGAAAGGGGAAAGATTTAGAAAGATAGGGGCAACGTTTTCATGCAGAGGGTGGTGCTTGTATGGAATGAGCTGCCAGAGGAAGCACTGGAGGCAGGTGCAATTACAACATTTAAAAAGCATCTGGATGGATATAAGAATGGTTTAGAGGAATATGGGCCAA